AACTAGGTTTGATATGTAAGATTTATTGATTCAGAGATAACGTATTGTAACTTGACTTCAATATTTAGATAAAAGACAAGGAAGCTTGTTTCTACACTTTCATAATTGGTAAGAATATCTATTTTAAATTGAAATACAATTTTCCGTTTTGTTTTAAACTTAATATAAATTGTATCACTTCTATATACGTTTGAACATCAGTTGATGATTCATTCGTGCTACAGAGATTGATCCAAAACAACTTCAGTTTTATGAAGCTCAACAACAACAGTCAACAATGTCCATCTTCAGACATAACTGCAGTGGTACGAAATAGACAATATAAAAAAAATACTTTAATTTCACCAACAAAAGCTTTCCTTTTTCAGACGGTGATATACATGTAGCTGAATGTTATAGAGTGTTCATTTAACAATTATAACGGTTTTCCATAATATGTTCTAATGGCACTAAGTTAACAAACGTAACCTATTAAAACAAAAGTGAGTTTTACAGGGTAAAAGATACAGTGAGGATTGCCTTGATCTTTCTAAACAGTTTTAGTAAGTTTACCCTAGAGCACCTCTAGGGAAGCACTGTCAGAATCAGTTCTAAGATCGAAAGTTTATGGTCAACTGTTTCGAAATTCTTATACATCCTTGACTTTCAAATATTAGCCTTTGATTGTTCCTGATAAAGGTAAATCTGGAAATGCGCTTCGGATGCATGCAACTAATAAAGTGTTGGTTTTATTATTTTGGAACTGCCTTAATTAGTTTTGGAGTTGAATTATCTAAAACTGATCTAAAGTGGATGTGGGCAGAAGTATTTTACTGATGTTCAAAACTCGTAATTCTATTAAGAATATTTCAATTAAGGGAACGAACAAAAACTGATGGGATCGCATGAACTCCAAAAAGATCGAAACCAGATGCGTTGAAACCTGTTCTTGAGATAGAACTGTCAGGGTCATTTCTCGGGTAGAACTGTAAGAATCTATTTTATGTTAGAACTGCAAGAATTTGTTATAGGGTAAAGCAGTTCTTTATACATGTTACCACGTAAATAATAGTTGTTCTCTGATAGTGATTTAGAAAAGGCACAGTAAGAAGGATTATCCCGCTATTTATAAAAAGGCTTAAATAGTAAAAATAATTACAGTCTTGGTTATATATTTCGTCATTTGTATGGGTATTCATTTTTTATTAGAAATATATATGATCACGATTACAAGTAATATATTATCTTAGAAATGCTATTATACATATCGAGGGTCAAGTAATACAGGTAAATATTTTGTATGTATTTTGCAGCTTAAATATTTGGATTACACAGAGATCTATTCATATTTACGGATATAGTTTTATATCCAAATTTAACAGACATTATACAGTATTATATAATGAAACATATACAATGTATTGTTTAGTATCATTATGCAGATTTTGGCACGGGTTAATAATGTCAACATGTCATAAAGCGAAGGAAACATTAAAAATTGATATAATAGTTAACAAAGTTAATATAATATAATAAATAAATATGCATTATAAGTCGTACCGGTTTCCAAGAATATTGTGTGGGTAATGATATATGTCTAATAGAAATAAATAAAACAAATATATAAATGAAAACATGATAATAAAGAAAACAATTTTAAAAATTTTAAAAGTATTAATAAAAATACTTAAGAATTAAAGAACAAATAAAAAAATTAAGAACATTAATGAATAAAACAAATAAGATTAATGAAATAAATTCAATATGACAGTTGTTTTCCATTCGTTTGATGTGTTTGAGTATTTTATTTTGCAATTTGATTTTGCAATTTGATCAGGGGCTTTCCGTTTTGAATTTTCATTTGAGTTCGGTATTTTTGTTATCTTACTTTTTAACTAGGACATCGCGGGTCCATGACTGAATAAAAGTACCTACGCCTTATTTTTAGGCTGGATTTTTAGTAATTGAAATCATGCTGATTATAAGGTGCACAGTTTTCTCTGCTTTTAAAACGTTTCTGTTTGAACCCGTCTTGGTTTTCTTAACAAGAAACTACATGGGACATATACTATTGGTATCGGTATCGGATTTGACCCAGAACTTGTTAATTATTGGTAATATTAATTATGCGATCATTTAATTTCACATTCAGATATATTGATGATGTACTTTCCATTAACGATCCAAACTTTTCTGATTGGGTTCCATTAATATATCCTCCTGAACTTAATTAAAGAAACAACAGACACGGCTTCCTCCGCCTCATTTTTAGACTGATACATAGAATTTGACATTAATGGTAATCTCAATACCAGAATCTATGACAAACGAGGCGATTTTAATTTTGAAATTATAAATGTTCTCCACCTTACCAGCAATTTACCAACTTCACCTGCATATGGGATATACATTTCCCAACTCATTCGGAATTCAAGAGCTTGCAGCTGCTACTCAGACTTTATAAAACGTCACCAGTGTCTGAGCAGAAAGTTGATGAGCCAAGCTTTAAGGTTATGTTAAAGAATGTCTCGTCCTGTTTCTTAAAATAGCTCATTGGAAGATACCAAGACCTTGTTGATAAATATTCCGTATCAACTTCACAATTAATACATGATGGTCTTGAAGTATAGAGTCTAGGTACTGACGTTGTTTATCATCTTAATTACGTGTTAAAGTTCCCCTTTGTTGTCCTTGTATATTTTTAACCTTTACTGTTTATCCATTTGTTATTATAATTTTATACTTATGACGTAGATCGGTACTTATACATCCCGCCATTGTGCTATGGTCAATTTTGAGTTCTTGTCTTTCATGTGTGCTTATGTACTTCGTCTATATGCCATTTTGTGTTTCTTTGCTGAAACAGTTATTTGTGTTCATAGTGATTAAGATTATGACAATGTTAACTGCTGTACCCCAATTTTTGACATTTTTACCTATTATGTCTGTTTGTTTTGGTCACACATTGTTGTCAATATAAGGGAATTTTATGCGACTGTCATACAAGTGAGAGGTTTAGCTAGCTATAATACCAGGTTTAATCCACCATTTTCTACATAAGGAAATGCCTGTACCAAGTCAGGAATATGACAGTTATTTTCCATTCGTTAGATGTGTTTGAGCTTTTGATTTTGCCATTTTATAAGGAACTTTTCGTTTTGAAATTCCCTGGGAGTTCGGTATTTTTGTTATTTTACTTTTTATGTGGAAAACAAAAGAGCCTGGAATTTTGAATTTTTAATCAAAGTATAAAAAGTTGTCGGAAACTATTCTAGAACTGTCACGATCTGTTCAAGGGTAGAACGTTCTTAACCTGTTCTAGAGTAGAACTGGACAGAGCTTTTCTACATTAGCTATGTCAGAATTTATTCGAGATTAGAACTGTCTAAAATTGTTCTGGGGTAGAACCACATCTGTCCGCAACTGTTCTTATCTTGTAAGGAGAACTGTTCTAACGTTTTTTTTGTAGAACTGTTCTACAGACTGTTCTATAACTTACTGCTCTTCTCTTCTCAGATAACTCTCTTGTAAAGAGAGTTAAGAATTGATCATTACTTTACTTCAGAAGTTTGAATAGATTGAAAACTTTTTATAGTCGGTATCACATTATTCTCTGTATATATAATGCTTCTCGTAAAGAGTAAAGTAATATTAAACGGTAAAACATACCCTACCTTTTATTGTCGTTGATAGAATTAAAACGATATCAATTCTATATTCAGACTTGAGAAATGTCTTAAAATATTCAATAGAAAGGGCTGGAGGCGTTATAAACCCCTTATTCAGTAGAAACCCCCCCCCCCCCCTCCTTTTGTGGGAAAAATATTGTTGATTATTTAACTATGCAGGTTTTATTGTGTTATTGTAACACGTAAGGCTATCTGGATCACGTGTTCTTTCGTTATAGTTGGTATTTGTGTTATATATATTTTAAGTCATTCTTCCCGTAGGAGTCGACTATCTGTGGTTGAGATGCTGTCTGTTATATTGTGTGGATTTTTTGTTATCCGTTTTATGTATTTTAAAGTTGTATTCAGGTTAAAAAATTACGTTGCAATTTTTTTTCTACTTTCAATGTAAAAACAATTGATCTAATGTTGTTGCGTGTACATCAGTAGTCTCCTTCAGGCATTCTGTATACCAACAAGCACATGTTTACATGTAATCCATTTTAGATGCTTGTCTAGATCAATTATAATGCTAAACAGAAGAATGACATTTAACATACAGAACAATGTCATCTTCTGTCTATGGTGTAAACAGTCAGATTTGTGCAAGACCAAATAGCTCTTCATAAAAGAGGTAAAATTGTCATGTCTCCTCTCTAAATAGTAGCAGGCTTGTTAAAAGAAACACTAAATAACTAAATAACAAGTTGCAAAGTTGACAAAATCTGTGAATATATTCAATGAATTATAGCACAATAAGGTAACTACGTATTGTGACATGTAAAACAATCATGTGTATCAATAATTTATATAAACAGTTATAGTTATTTGTGTCAATTGTACAACAATCAATTTCAAAGGGAAGTAATATTGTTTCCAGACGTAGGTTCTCCGTTACAATTGCATCATAAATACTCTGGCATCCATCCATTTCCCTCTTATCCAAATAGCATAACGATTCCAAGAGGGCTATATAACATGTAATTAACTGTTCTTGGACATAACACAACGAGCATAAGGAAGTCATACTTCCAAGAAATATTTTGTGGAAAGAAAAAAGTTGTTAAGATCAAGAAAAACTAGTCACAAATCAGGCTGTATTGTCTAAATTATGTAATACTTATTAACACGAAATAAAACACCATGCTTGTTTGTGTTGAGTGAACATAGAGTGGTTGCTGATGAGTCGAATTGGTGAAGCGATTTCAGAACAAACGTACATTACCTGTGTGTTATACAAAAATATATTTCAGAGTGATCCATGAGTCTTTCACAAACCATTATTATTCGCACCAAGTGTTTTAATTGAATTATTTTGTATGTACTGTATTGTTTTTCTTTTCAGTACACCTCCAGCTGATTGGTTATCCTTTCTTCTTCTGATTCATACAACACGAAGACCAACACTTGTGAAAAATGAATCCTACATCCGTGGATACGATTGATGCAGATGCACGAAGTTTCCGTGTTAGAACACTTCGAATATTAGGTGGTACACAGATAGCACTTGGAATTGTATGTGCTATCTTGAGTTTAGTAGGCGTGGCTTTTGATGGAGTAAGGATGAACAAAAACTGTCCACATCACAGCAACTCGTATTACTATTACATGTACAATTACGGCACCGATTCTTATTATTACTATACTGACTGTACTTACTACTGGTATGCTTCCACGTTATTCGGGTTCAATATCACATGTTTGATTTTTTCAGGATGGGTAAGTAAGTTACTGGTTCTGCATGCAATGTTTAAATTTGTTGAACATCAGTTTTAACTTATATGTACTAGATCCGGATATTTCATTCCTTACCATTCGAATGAATTTAGTCATATTTTTATTCGGTATAAAAATTATAAAAACACTTTACTTTAATATTTCTGGCATCCGAAGTGATTTTTCCCACAAGGACATATTTTTCTGTCTGCGAGCCGGACAATTTATATTAATCCTAAATAATTTGTGCTGTTGGAAAAGCGCAAATACCAAATTTCAAGACTTGGTTTGACCTGGCCGGAGATCGAGCTCACAAAACTCTCGCTCTCGAAACGAACAGGCAACAACGAGACCACTGGAAGACACTATAATAAAGACAATTGTCAATTGTCGATTACTGTATATTGACTGCTTGGTGGTGTTTTGTATTTTGTAAAACGAGCATAATCATATCATAATAAATTATATTTCTATTTAATTTCGTATTCTTTATTTTAGTGCCTGCTTACTGGAATATTTCCTTTCTGCATGAACAAGAAAAGACGAAATAGTTGGCGATGTTTAGTAAGTCGTTCTTTGACTATACAATTATATTCAACTGATTTTTAATGAAAGATAGCATACTTTTTGCTGGATTTGGGGCGATTTTCATTTTGTTATTATATTTTTTTACGCAAAATCACTGTTTAAATTTTAGTATGTTGTCTTGATTAAATGTTGTTTGTCTTTTCGTAAACATGTATGATGTTTACCCTTCGACTTTAGTAGTATTCATACATAAGGGTGTTCTGTAGGTGATAACTTTAATTAGCTCAATGCTTGTAGAGAACTATTTTTAAACAGATTTAATACTGATACACAAGATAACAAACAATACAGACTAAAAATTGAGAATGGAAACGGGGAATGTGTCAAAGAGACAACAACCCAGCCAAAGAACAGAAAACAGCCCAAGGCCAACAATGGGTCTTCAACACAGTGAGAAAATCCCGCATCCGGAGGCAGGTTTCAAAATTAAAAACACATACAAGACTAATAAAGGCAAGAGTTTCCTAACTTGGTTTAGTACATTACAGGGGGAAAAGCGTATGGTGACGTGTAATGAATATTTCGAGTTCGATACTTACTCTTTCGTGGTGAAAAAAATGTATAAAACGACCGTTTGAAACATTTGACCTCAAATTTTCTTTTGACATATTTGACTTGGTGTAGAGTAAAAAGTTTGATTAATTTTGTATTTTCTAAGTAATTTCACCTTAAGTTTATAAAAGTACCTATTAGAGAATAAAGGACTGTTTGTAGGAATAAGTTCGGTAAATAATCAAATTCGCCTAATAATTCACGGTGGTAATGTGAATGATAAGTCCTTAATGTTATTTGCATCAGTTCACATTTCCCGGTTGGTACACAAATGGTTGCTGCTATGGCAATATAAATATGGCAATAATCTATCAAATGTTGTAGAAAATTACGTTCATGGTGTGCTGTATCATAGGAGCAGCGGTATTTATGCCAACGATCTTCAGTCTTGGAGTAATAGGAGCACTGATGGTAAGTTTTGTTAGATAAGAGTCATTATTTATCTCTACCCTGAAAACCTTAAATATAAAATACCGTTAATGCTTCGAGTCATTCCAAAGAATATAAGCACACATTAAAAACGCGTTTATACCCCTGTCTTTGCGTCAGCCACGTTTATGCTTTTATATCTTCATAATGTTTCCCCAAGACTGATAGTTTTTGATAGCCATAAAATATAAAACGTTTGCGAGCTGAAAAACCAAAAGTTAGAAACAGTACAGCCAAAACCGTTACTTCTTCGTTATCATTGACCTGTATTCAATATTATGTGCCGGTTACTCATCGAAATCCGATAGTGCTCCAGTTTCTTTCATCGCCTAGGTTTCAAACTTTAAATTTAAAATAAAGAAAAAGAAATTGTAAAAAAATCATTTAAAAGTTAGCAACAAAATGTATATGCAAAAAAACTCGAAACGAACGATTTAGTTTAACAAGGTTTATTCAATTGCTAATGGTGTCATTCTATCTGTATTGATGACAGTTTTAACTTTCATACGATTATTTTTGCTGAAAAAAATGATTTTGTTGATTAATTGGTGATATTAAGCCGTCAGCGGCAAATAGTACATACAAAATTTTCTAGATGGTAAGGTGTTAATGAGAATGTACCTTAAAGTTATCACTTTTGACTAAACTGACACGACGAGTCGGATATTGAACGTGTAAGCTTAAGATCACCGTGTAGCAGCCTGTAATAAGGGAGATATGTGTTATTTTTCTAGGACACATTGAACTGTATTTCAATGCCAACCCTTCTTTGTATGCTCTGATTTATAGCAAAAGTATAGGTTTGGCACTGTTTTAATACAAAGATTTACCACATATAATGCATGTGATGAAAGGCATGCAATCATACGGTACTTTTCATGATAAATGAGATTTTAATCTTTACAGCGTGCTAAAAATGAGAGTGGTGGACTTGCAGCTTTACCATCATTCTTGGCCGTGGTTGCCGTTTTAGAGATGGTTGTCGCTATTATTGCCTCTGCTTATTGTTGTTGTTGTACGTCATGGGGTTCGTCTAATGTGAGTAATATTATGTAATGTATTTTATATCCCTCGTATATTATTTTTAAATTTCTTTAGTTTATCCGAACTAGACATACATCACTTTAAGATTTACAAAGTGATTGTTAATCCCGTAACTTTAATGACCAGCTCGATGAAATTCATATAACCCAGAGAGGGCTTGTTCTAACAGAGGAGAATTCAAATTCGCGGTCACCACCGTATATAATCTTAGTGTTGTTGTATTTGCCATCCCAGCCGTATAATCTATTTCTATATATAATTCAAAAGTCATCTGATTACATTTAACATTGTCCTTTATTTTTGCATCTTTTGTAGTTTTATTTGATTGTTAAAGAATTAACTGTTGTACATTTTGTATGAAGCGAAGAACCCTGAAAGTCAATCCTAAGCAAAGACGCATTTTCATTATAATACAGACTGTTTGTTATTACCCTTTTAATGCTAAAGACTAGAAAATAAAAGCTAAGTTGCATGTCGGATAAATATAATTTTTTAAAATAAACTGGCATATTGAGTATTAGTTGTCATTCTGTAAGGATGCGCATCCCGTATTTAAAAGACTTAAATCTATAATAATTATATTGCTAGAGGACCTTGTGATATTGTGTATCAGCTGTGATAATAGCCATGATATTACATGTATGTAATTGTCCTTATTTAAGTCTTGCATCGGTAAAGATTATGGAGAATTCTGTTTAAAGTTACTTTGTTAAAGCATTGTTTGATGCAATGTATATTTGTGAATTAACTTGTAAATAGTTTCTCCGTATTGGTTACTGTTATTAACCAAATGATACATTATCGTGTTATATGTTGGGTATGTTTGTCTGTGTCTTGTGTCCATCAATCGGTCACAATTTTACATGAATATATTTTATGGAAATAGTTGTATTAAAATGATATTTTTTTTAGATGTGACTGATATGGATTACTCTTCAACTTCGTACTTAATTTGGCCTTTTTAACTTTTTTTGATTCGTGCATCACTGATGAGTCTTTTGTAGACGAAAAGCGCATCTGGCGCAAATACAAAATTTCAATCCTGGTATCTATGATGAGTTTATTTACATGACAATCAAAACGACATGTTACAGTCAAGCAGACACTCTACAAAATCAATTACTAGTATGAAAAAATAATACAACTGAGATAACTTGTGCTTACGAATTACTGTAATTATTGTCTTACTGTATAACAAATAAATAATATTTTCTATTTTCAGCAATTGAGATACGTTTATGTAGCCAATGGTCAAAATGGGATGATACTTAATATGCCACTATCACAGCTGAATACCGGTCAACTCCAAAGATTTGCTGTACCAACGCAATTGACGCATGTGCCGTCTGGTATTACTCCACAATCTCAAAACTTACAGAATATGCAGACATTCCATGCACAGTTAGGACATGCATCGGCCTTAGAAGCAACACCACCTGTGTATCCTTCGTCTGCATCTATGACAACAACTCAACAAGAGAATCAGGCTCTTGGAAACTGTACATCGCCTCCGCCATACAAAGAATGATGGACTCTAAAAAAAAGCTATGAAATTCTGCCTAGTTGTTTTGCCTCCTTCACAGTCGCTGTGCATTGCTAATCATACAATGATGAATGATCATTTGATATTTTAAAAAAACAGCATATTGTAATAGTAGCCATATTAATGCAAATGAAATGAATACAATTTGAATTGCTATATTTTTAATGCTCTTCATTCTTACTACATAAAGGATGTATGATGAATTGAATATAATCATATAAAATATTCAAATTAAAATATCAAAAGAAAAGAAAAACCGGATATTATGTTTTTTACATGCAAATATTAAGCCGTAAATATATATATAGTAAGTCGATAATTTTACATATTGTTGAACTTCCACTTCACCATGAGCGTTAGAACTACATATGTAGCAGAGCAAAGCTCCTAATTAAAAATAACTTCATTCATACAGTTTTACACATCAATAAAACACATTAAGGGTGTTTCAAAATAACAACTTTTTAAAAGACTGTTATAGATTGGTAGTAAATAAATAACAGCACCAAAAAAGCAGAAAAATGAAAGGTTCGTGTCCTTATATAAGACATTGAAAATTTGGCGGGATATTATTCTCTTTAGATTTTTCATACATATAACATTGCTACCTTTTTCTTTTAAAAACTATATGTAACGAAAAGAAAGTTAGGGTCAGCGGTCGATTTTTTTTATTTGTACAACATGGATAAAAATATCTGACAAAAGTTCAAAAGAAAATCAGCGAACATCCTGAAACTTTTAGAAAATATTATTCTGGTAATGTATAGTGTACATGTACCTACCGAACTGATTGTTGGAGGGATAAAAAAAATTATGAAACATATGCAGAAAATGTGGGGGAAGGGTTTGCAGCTTATAGTAACTTGACATATTCTAGTTATCCAAACGACAAGCTCTCAATATTCTTGACGAAGGTCACCAAAGAAAAGCCCTCTAAATGCAGTTTAGTGGGTATCTTTGATCTTGATAGTTCCGGCAAAGAAACGACCCAAAGCAAGGAATTTCTTATGTAGAATTTAAATACAAAATATGTGTCAGTTTGTTCAAAGAAATCTAAATTCATAATTTGTATATATTTCTACTCAAATGTATTAAGAAGTTAACAATTGTCCAAGGTAATGTAAACTCTAAATTTTAACCGCGATATACATTTGTTAATAATATTTCAAGAGAGGCAGTCAAAGATCATCACGCGAATAAGGCAATACAACGCCATGGCCAAACAGAAAAGAAAATAGACAAACAGAAAAGTCAAAAACTTGAATTTGAAAGAATATACATCAACATATTATTTCAATTTTTTTTAAATGTGACTTTGAAATTTTGACTAGATTTTTAAAAACTTTTCTAAACGCCAAAATAGAACTTCAAGTTTTTAAACTCAGAAGTTCCATTTGAAATCGATCACGTTAGTTTTTGGTATAATCCGTGGCAAAACGTTTTTGTATTCTTTCTGAGCGTAAAAAGGTAAACATAGAATTTGGTTTTCTGGTATCCCAAGACTTCTGTTGCGGAAGTAAAATTTCCTAAAGTTTGGTGTCCGATTGGCTGAGTGGGATGTATAATTAACCAGCCACGTTCACTCAAAATGGGGGACGGGGAGTTAAAACAGAAGTTTTATGTCCGGTGATGCCAACACTATATGTACGTTAAAGAACCATTGCTAAAACTCTCTGTGGGTGGCCTGTTTCAAGGTAAAATGTCTGCCCTATCCCGCATACCTTTATTTTCCAGTGACCGTCTGAATTACTCGCCCTACATCACCACGGCTGTAATTCGGTTTATCGAGAAAGATGATCGTGAGCCATTTGAAACATTAAATTAAATATAGAACGATATTGTTCAGAGAATGGTAATTTAGTTATTGATATGATGAAAAAATTCATGTTTGATTACGTTATTTATGTCATTAAAATGTTGAAGAGCAATCTGCCTTTTGTAGTTTTGTAAAAAACGGTGATCTTATAAAAATAAGAAGACGTGGTATGATTGCCAATAAGGCAAGTCTCCACAAGAGACCAAATGGCATAGAAATTAACAACTATCATAATAGGTCATCATACGGCTTTCAACAATGAGCAAAACCAATACCGCATAGTCAGCTATAAAAGACCCCGAAATGACAAATGTAAAACAATTGAAACGAGAATACCAATGGCCTGATTTATGACCAAAATAATGAACGAAGAACAAATATGATATATAGCAACAAATGACAACCACTGAATTATAAGTTCCGAACTTGGGACAGGCACATACAGAATGTTACGGGGTTAAACTAGTTTGAAGGCGCCAACCCTCGGAGTCCCCCTAACCTTGAACAGTGGTATAACAGTACAACATAAGAACAAACTATAAAAATCAGATGAAAAAGGCTTAACCCATCAGATCGATAGAAAGCAGAAATACATCAAACAAAAACACAGACCAGACGTGGCAGGGTACTTACATGTATGATACATCCCCATAACAAAAAAAGACACTAAGTACTCGTAGTTACTGACAGCTAGTTCAAAGCCAATAACAACTAATAAAAAAAGTCATGCATCTAAGACTAAAATATCAACCAGTACACATCCAATATCCAATTGATTTAGTGTAAAGACGTCATTAACAGTCAGAAAAAAACATGACCTTGTGCAATGCCAAGATTCAGGTATCGGCAGATTGTAGAGCCATGAATGTACATATGTATATAAAAATAATATTTAGTTTGATTTTAATTTACTGATAACAAAATCAATATTAATATCAATAAAAACAATATTTAAAGATCTAATTACAGGGTTGAATTGGTAACGGTTTAGAATATGTTAATTTGAAGTATCGATAAGTTTACCCGGATCGTATCTTATAAATTTCCGGGCTCGGTAAACAACATCTCCGTAAAAATTCTGATTTTCTCAGATACTCCTCATATAACGATGAACCATTTTGACAGACATTTTTTTTTTAATATTTTCCCTTATAACTTGACACATTAGATTATCTATGGACCTTGCATGTGGTTTTCCGATAAGATTTCTTTTACGATCCTATACAGGTCTTTCGCGATTCTAATCCAGATCTTGCACGAACTTATACCAGATCTTTCACGATACTATTGCAATACTTGACCACCGTTACTAACTTATTCTTTCACGATCATGATTCTCTATAAACCGAACTATGACGTATGTCAGCCTCTTTTTAACTATTAAATTTTATTTTTTTTTAATGGACACTGTTAAGATGAATGATTATATATTTTTGACACAAGACTTTTTTATCTTAATACTAACTTATCTAAAGTATATATGTCACATATTTGTCAATGCCCAAGACTGACAATTATTGTAAGTTGTGTATCATCTGGCATGGTAAAGATCCCGTCATCACAAATAGGTAAGTCTTTGCATTAACATCGCGTATTTTTTGACCAGAACATCTCGAACACGTGTTTTTCTTTCATAATTCGCATAGGGCTACATGTATGTGTCGACGTTTGTGTTTTCTCAAAAAGGACTGCATTTTTTCTTTACCTTAGTGCACCGTATAATTCAGAAAGTTGAACCGTTCTGACAGACATATTTCGTTTTATTGATTTTTTCGCAATTCGATAACACAACGGGTATTTTCACATGCAGATTTTGACGTTATATTAACACATATTTAATTGTTTTCACGATCTGATACCAGATCTTTCACGATATAATCGCAAAACTTGACCACCGTTGTTTATTCTTTCACGATCATGTTTATGGATATACCGAACGATAGCCGGATCACGGTCGTCCTATCTTACAGAACCTATCTATTGTATAAATGGTGCTTTTGTCCTGAATATACATGCAATACAGGCACTTTATATCTGAGAAACAGGCTATATATGCCCTCAATTTTAGAATTCATTCATACATTTTTGTAATATTCAAAATTATCAGTAAATTGTGTGTTCTACAAGGATCACCAGTCCTTCACCTTTCATCTGATACCTTAATTACGTACAAAATATTTTTGCTCCGCTCAAGCCATTACTAGGGGCCGTCTTAAACTTTCAGTGAGGTGAGAGTTTTTTTGCTCCCTGTTGAAGGCCTCACTGTGACTTTTAGATGAAGAACAGCAATACAAGCGCTATTCCTTTGCTTTTTTGTGTTTTTTCGTTGTGAATGTATTGATTTTGTGTCATGGATGGATACCCCATATACCTTTGTTTTCCTATAATACTTACTTACTTTTCAGACAACAACAATCAATCAATTCATCTCTAGTAATATTGTTAAATATTTTGTCGTAGATATTAAGCTTATAACTGGCAAATATGAAACCTTTCAGTGATAATAATTTGGAATGAGCAAAACGTAGTATTCTTATAATTGATTAAAAGAACGAAATATTACCTAAGCCTCATCTTCCATATATTTACTTATTAATAGTGCTGATGGAACTCAATATTAGCAGTCGCAAATCCAGCCAACTTAAAAACAGGAGGGTGGGGTGGAGGAACGTTCACATACTTACAAAAATCATATAAAAAATCGGGGAAACGGAGAGGTTCCAACCCCGGAACCCTCCTCCCCCTTAGATTCGCCAATGATTAGAACAGGTATAAGGGTACATAACACATAACTTCATACATGTACCAGCGGGCTATGTCTCAATAACGTATAACACACCTCTCCTTTTATTCATACGACAAAGACGATCATTTTATTTTCCACACATGTCTCCTGTATATGCAAATAACAGTAAACATATAGTATTAATGAACTGAGTGCTTATTTTTGTGGGGTAATTTTATGGGGTGTAAAAGCGTTGACAGAAGCACATTTTGTATGGAGTGCTTCAAAAATGAGAGCACGATCAATGCTTTTACAACCCTATACAATTACAAAAAGAAGCATTCAATTTTTATAATTACATTTTTATGCTACAGTTATGAAATTACGAGTTATGATAAGCTTTTTTCACTATTCATTGTCGCAACGTTGTCATGGGAAGCACGT